TCATTCAAGATGGCGGTCCCCACATAGTAAATATCAAATTTATTTTATTATCACATGTGCGCCAGCTGACTGTGACTATATCCAGGTAGTAGTAAACTTGTACCTATAACAAATGTGTATCTATAATAGATCTGTGAATAATTAATGAGGTCACATGACCATCTGGTTCACATTTCTACAATGCTGAACCCGGCAAGCAATTCTACACACAGTATTAATACATATTAACTGTGTAGCTGACGAGAAAAAATTAAATTACTTTTACCTTGAATTTAATGGAATTAGACGTGTAAAAAGAAGCATAACAATATGCACAGATCACTTATGACTGTATGGTCTAGGGGTTAGCATGTTCGTTTTGCATATCATAGGTTATAATCTTTCATTAGGCAAGATAAACTACTGCACTTGAAACAGTTCCGATAAAAGCCAATGCAATCAAATATTGTTAAACATAATATGGTCTCCAACCAATACAAAGTCACTGCCATATAGTTTGTCTGCATTACTAATCACGAACTGTCATGTTATTGACAACCATTCACATGCGAATACTTATTATCATTAGTTTAAAGGGTGGTGGTTGTGGCACTGCGCATGTGCGACACTTGTGTTGATAAACATTGATTTTCCCACAATTCAATGCGCTTTTCTAATGAAATCACAGATTCAAGTTTTGATCTGGGTGTGACATGCACTAAGTACCTTTCAATCACTAAAGAAATTACCTAGTAAAGGCTTGGTAAAGTTGTACTCGTTGGTCTGTACAACAGTCAAAGTTGCCATATCTCGCGCATGCGTGGCTCGGCGACCACCGTCTTTAACATGCATTTGCGCATATATTTCCAATGTACAATTACTTCACACACCGTTTTCAAAATATATTAACACACCATGGTTGCAACATTAATTTTCGTGAAATATGTATTGCAGGATATTAGACTAGGAAAACTGCAATACACATATAGTGACTAAAATAAAGAAATCACATATGTAAACATCACAGTGCTCCCCTAAAATATAATAATAGTCTAAGAACATATATCCAGCGTTGCCTCTGGGCCACGTGACCAATTATTAAAACTGCAACTCTAACTTAATAAAAATGCTTCATGTACAATTTCAGAGTACTGGAAGTCTTTGAAAATTATAGGCATGTACATTGAAGCTGCATTGTGAACTGAACACTGCCATGCTTGCTTTAGCTTCAGTTTGAATTTCATGGTTCGTTCCAAACATGTTTTATGTCAGTAGCAAGTATGAATGAAATAAATCCATACAAATTTTTACTTTTGGTGCGGCATTCTTGATCTTGAAATAAACCCATGTGTGACAAAAAGATGTAATATGTATGTGTGAATTGAATATAATTATACCCTAGGTGTCTGAGATATAGGTGTATAATAGTTTGCCAGTTATACAGATGAAGGATGGTGAAGACTAACGAAAATTAACTATACTATCAAATCTATCTACAATTATTTTGGGTCCATGGTCAAGCTGGTTTTTGAGAAAAAACTAAAAATAATATACATGAAATGCCATTTTCTTATTTTTCCATTAAAAAGCATATTGTCACTTTTTAATATTCCAAACATCGTAAAGTACCTTGTTAGATACTACACATCTTTTTTCACCATATGTCACCATGTCACAAAGCAAAATTTTGAGATATTGAGATTTTTCGTACCAGAGAAAACATTGGTAAATGTCTTAAAACAATTGATTGAACGATTTTATCTGAACTGAGTATGGTTACCCATATTTGTAATTCATTCATCCTTGTAGCATGATATATCAAATATGAAAAATAAAGAATATTACAAAATGTTACGTTATATGTAGAATCCAACTTTAAAATGTTTCATTTATAAGAACAAAGCATACCTGATATATTTGTATATGCAAAGGATCTGATGGAACACATTCATATGCTGCAATATCTATACCAACATTGGGATTATCTTGAAACTCACGACACAATGTTAACACCTCTGCTGACCATTCTGAGTTGAATAAAAAAAAGCACACAGATTATTGAACAATTCAGCAGATAAGATAAGTACTGGCAATTATCCGTGCTAAATACAGCGTAAATTAAATTAAGGTGGGTAAGAATACATCAAGTGAATACAATTCCCGACAAAGATAGCTGAATACACCCAATATCCTTGTAAAATACAGCCTGGGTACATCAAGTTATGATGGGTGAAAATACAAATGATCACAAAAATGCATTTTTGCCTGTAGTCATTCCTCATTGAAAGATATATTTCACTATATTCTAGACGAATGACTAACGAACACAGTTGTAGATTATAATGTTGCCTTCAGCTCCTCATATTTCCACAAGCCTTACCTGGTTTATGTCTGATACAGCAAAGTATCGTGTTCCCTTTGATACCAAAGTCTCGACAGCCTTCTTGTAGTCCTTTATTGACATACTCTACAACATCTCTTGGTCTCAGCTGACCGGCTTTTTGACCCCACTCAAGGGACACATCACAGTTGGCCAGTAAGTGAGGGGAATAACGAGCTTCAAAGTATGCCACGCCTTGTTTGGCTTCATATTCACATAATTCATAGGCAATCCTTTTGATAGCTTCGCCATCGCCGCTGAATGTACATAATGGAATTAACACACATAATATAATTGCACTATAAGTAGCCCATGCACTTACATTGGTAGACTGGCGCAGTCGGGCGATTAATTTGTTTTTGTAGTATAAATACAATTAAAAAAATCACGAAATGGTGTTAGCGCGAAATCACCTGTAACTGCGAAATCACCCCGACTGGTTTATTCTGCATGGCCCTCTATCGACACTGCAAGGAACCCGTCGATTTTTCAACGGGTAATTATGTTAGTGA